GGGGGGGAGGCTATCAGGGTCCAAACATGTTCGCTGCCCCCATGTCCCCGTGTGGCTACGTCAGCTTCTCGAGTCGTATCATGAGTTTCACGCTCTTGGGCGGTGCAGTGTATGAGTCGGACTGCTCGATGCCTGCGTCATCTACAATGGTCGTGCGGTAGTTTGAGTACAGGGCCGCGACTATGTACTTCATTTCTGTGTCCACGTCAGCATATCACGTTACCTACTCAGCTCACGAAGCTAGTAGAAGTTCAAAGTCACTCTCTTCGCCCCTTCCCCTCCTCGTGTGGCTGTGGAGAAGGGGAAGGGGGACATGTGACTAGTGGATACTTACGGTACACTGCCAAGTGACTTCCCACGCACATTCGACCACCACTAGTGCACACAGTGTAAGCATATGCCAGCTCCGATTACGTCAAGAGCAACCAAACAACAAAATACAGGGTTATACTCACCTGCCAAAAGCCCAAAACCATCGGCTCTCCATGTCTCTCCGCTTGTCATCGGCCACCTTGTCGAGTCCCAACCAGCGACCTGGCCTCCATTCACTTGCACACTCATACACGTCGTCGTTCAGATGCAGCAGGCCCGCACTGGCGCTCACCCTGACTCCGCCCGGAACGTGGTACGATGAATCGTCTGTTGGGCCAAGTCGGCAGCCTTGCGGGGGCGTGAAACGGGGTTGTGGGCCGGGAATCGCAGAGTGAAGACGCAGGGTTTCCCAGATGACGGAGTGTAGCAAGGGAAGGGCATCGACGGCTTTCGGGTCGGGCAGATTAGGCACTGAAGATGCTGCCAGGCGGGGAGATAGGCCGAGGAGCTCGTCCTGAAGACGGGTCTGGATATCGGGGTGCTTGGATAGCTCGTGGACAAGGTAGTTGAGCGTTATACCAGAGGTGTCGAAACCCGCGGCCAGATGATCGAGGACTTCGCTTGCCATGGCGATGGGATCAGGCATACCACCCGAGCTCTTACTTGCTTCCTTTGCCATGCTGCTCTGCAGCTGCTGGTAGACTACAGGCCGGTCCTCGATCCCTGCGGCGGCGACGCCAGCATCCAGCACACGCGCGGCTTCATGGCACATGTTGATCACCCATGCCTCGATCTTGCCATTTGCTTCGTCGACCCATTTGGGTGAGAAGCGGTAGCCAAGCCATTTCTCCGCCATGCTAGTGAGGTGCGGGAACTCTTGCGGCCAAAAGTTGAAGGATCGTCGTGAGTAGTATAGGTCCAAGAACCAGGCGAGTTGCTGGGGGTCCTGGATCAGGTTCGACCCTGCTCGCAGTCCGAAGATGTAGGACGTCACAATATCCATTGTTGTTGCACTGAGCAGTGCGTAAATGTTCAAGACTCCGTTTTCGGGACCTGCGCATACGGACTCTAGATACGGCAGGAAGCGCTTGTACATGATTGTCGATGCCTGCATGAGCAGCGATTCACTAGCAAGGACGTGAGACTTGCTGTAAATGTTGCTCAACATACGTTTCCTCTGCGAATGCGGCCTGTTACTGCCCGTGGAAAACATGTTGCCGGTTCTGCCATTTCACGCGTCAATGCCCGCTAAAAACCAGACGCCATTGTTTTTTTTAAGTCTCAAACAGGGCAGTTCATTGCTCACCCGCTATAGTTTGTGAAAAACGAATACCAATTATAGCCGTTTTTGGCATTGACTTTTTCGAATCCCCCGCCGTAGACATCGCGGATGCCGCCCTTGACGCAATTGATACTGATTTCTTCGGGGCCCAGACACACAATTGGACCCAGCCTCGCATGCGCATCTTTCAGCGTCGCATTCTCAATCTGTCGCCAGCGCACCCAGGCTATCCACAGCGACGACACGTGCGCGAGGGGATGCGCAGCGGGGATCTTCCGCAGCGGATTGCGAAGGTAGGCTACGAGCACGTGGATGACGACGAGAGCCGGGAGCAAGACGGCCGGCGCAAGCAACGACGACGCTTCCATGATGGTGATCTATCGAATTTGCGTTCGGTTCGTATAAGTAAAACAATGAACGAAACAAAAAGAAGAAGAAGAAGTCCGCACTCAAAACGGCCTTGATTCTCGCATCAGCAAAAAAAAAAGAAAGCAGTTCGTTAGCAAGAGCAGCCCCTCTAGTTACCTCACCTACGCCAGCCTAGCTAGCTCCGAAATCGCCAACTTTTTTTTTGCTCTTCCTCCCTACCGACGCAGGAACAATGCGCGTGCACTCGCAAGGACCCGAGATGTTCCAAAAAAAGCAAAAGAAGTCGAGAAGCAAAAGAAATCAATAGCCGTATCCTCGCCTTTGAAACTCACAACCTAAGTCGGGAATCCCAATATCCTTGGTATACTTTGCGACCCGCAGTACAGTCATCATGCCCATCGTACAATCTATCCATCTATCTATCTATCTGTTGATCATCTCGTATCTCACGCCTTATTGTCAACCCACACCTCAACCCCGCAACCCCTCCACCTCCACCTCCACCACCACCTCGGCGCAACACGACCGATATCTTATCGCCAAAACCCACCCCGATTCCATACTTCACCTAGCCTCTCTCTCTCACCTCCCCCCCACCCATGCAACGCACCGTTCTTTATCTCTCGTTCAGTCCTTAGTCTCCACGCTATCCCCAAAGCGCACTTAGCGGCGAGGTTGTGTGGTCTAGCGCGCTTCTTTTCCCGACGCGCTTGAGGCACAGGTGGCGCTGTGGGGTTCCAACGTTTCTGCCACTGTATGTGTGTCTGTGTGTGTGTGGATTGGACATCTCAACGGGTTCAACGAAGGTACGTGTATTAGATCATCTCGCTGGATGCATGGGGGGGGGGTGAATGTGATACATTTTTCTTTCTCCTTCTTTTCTTTTTTTCTCTCTCTGCTTCCTAGCATTCGGCCTTGTTTTATGTTCTGTCTTTGCGCCAATTTCACTATTTACAGCGTCCCATTTAAATATTTGACGTGTTGTGTTTTGGTTTGCACGTGCTTTGTGCATCGAGGCAGGGGGGGAGGAGGGGGCTTTTTCGTTGGTTCCCTCGTCCTCGTCCTCCTCGTCTTACCACTCGTTAGTGGTTGTGGGGGAGGGGAGGAGGCTTATTTACCATGGTGATCTGGGGTTTCTTGGGGACATCGGGAATATTTGATGTGCACATGCCTTTGCTGTACCGTGTTTCGAATCGTTTTTTTTTAACTCGTATTTTTTTAGACTTGCGGTGTCCGCTTGGTCGCTTGATGCGGAATGTCCCGTGGCGTTGTTCGGTATGTCGGCACCCCACTTGGGGCTAGGCTGGGCTGAGCGAGTGAACAAGGAGTGCTGACTTTGTGCATGACGGTCGTTCATATGCGGGTACATGTTTAGGCTGTCCGGGTCTTTGTTTTTGATTTTGGCGCGGATACTTGGTGCCGTGGTGGGCTGGGCTTTCGGTATGCATGCATGCGTGTGTGAGCGAAATGACGTTTTGGGTGATTCTTGGTTACACGGCACACTTCGCTAGAGAAGAGCGTCAGTCGGCTGTCTCATGTGGTGTTCTTGTGTGATGACATGTCGTGCGAGGGCAGGGTACGAAGCGCGTATTATTGATGTTACTTGTTTTGGAGGAGGAAGCTGACTGGAAGGGGTATTGGGGAATGTGCTAGAGAGTTCATTTGGAAATCCATCAGTAGACTTTTCCTTCGTGAGATAGTACATACTGAGATGATAAAATCTTAAGGGCATATAGTGTGATACGTGATATCACTGGTTATAAGTTCCGAGGAACACTACGGATACAGGAAAGTCATTCATTCATTCCCTTGCATTGATTCTACCACAGCTGCATGGAATTCATATCTGCATTCTCCCCTCTTCCCGAGTTGGGGTCTGCATATGCCGTCGAAACGTTGACACTGCGCTGGAAAGAACTAGAAAGTATAATTGCGCTCTCACCGAATTCCCACATCTTTCTCAATTGCAATGCTTAAATCCGTGAAATCAGATCATGTTTCAATAATGTTTCTCAAGTAGAAACGGTATATAGTCATGTTGAGAAAATGCTTTATCTCAATGAGCGCACCAGGGTTTTCAAGTCACTAAATCTCAACACATCTGGAAATGTAGATTTTGTATTCTTCCCGCGAAATTTACTTTCCTGTTTAATTACCAACTGCAACTCTCAAGAGACAAGTCATGGGAGGTCTTGGAACCAGGGGCGGCATTATTATGGGTAATGAGAAGACAATTTCATGGCATCGGGGAACTCGATGAAAGCTGAGTCATGGCCAGCTGACTAGCTACATGTGAAGAAAGTCAGAACATCTGCCAGTCCGATCCTGCTTTCCATACAAAAGTGACCTAGGTCAAGTGACCCAAGTTATATAAAATATCCCTCAAATGTAGTGCATTGACATCCAGATAGTCAATGTGATATTCTCCGCCTCTTTTCCAGAGTCCCGAACCTAACAGCAATCCTCTGTTCTGAGAAGAAAACCCGACAGGCAGTAACTGCTTTTGAACCACTGTGCTTCCGTCAGATAGCCGAAGATTGTCTCTCTGCAAAAAGTAGGTCACTGAGCCTCAATCGTAGCTGACGGTCAGGGATCCGAACTTCTTGCCCTTGATTGTGACGTAGAACTCCAGGGAAGACTGCAGAGATATATGCACGGTAACACCGATAGAGTAGTACTGGCGACCACACGGGCTCGTTTTCCGTTTCAAGTCGCTCAGGGGTATGTCGTTAGAATCGACTGTAAGCACTGCTACGTGGTATACTGACTGACTTATGTTAGCTGTGTTGCTTCCTCGAAGCGGCTTGCTCACCTTGTCCACACATCGGGATGGAGCAATATCTGCATCGCATGCGAGAAGTTTCCAATTCATCGACAGGTCCTCGCCAACCCACCATTTCATTGTCAATTCCGTAGCTGCATGCGTTGCCTCTGACGCAACAAGGGTTTGTCCTTTCTTGATTAGCCATTTCATCTGGTTTCGCGCCCTCTTTTTTCCATCATAGATGTTGATGTACATGTCAGTCTTAATGTGCTCATGTTTTTTGAAAATGCTGCCACAGGATGTACCATAATGCCGACGGCTCTTTCGTTTCACAACTGCACCGATACCTTTCTCAAGGCCTTTGGTTGCGGCATCACGGACTACTGCAGACCAACTACGGCGAATAAGCCAGCAGAATCTTCATAAGGACGTTGGAGGTACTAACGCGTAAGGAGGCCGAATAGCTTGTATCTCTTGCTTCTTTACGAAGTCTCTGATCTTCGAGAACATATATGGTGACTCTGAGAAACCACCGACCATAAATACATACTGGCTGAGTCAGTAAATGTATGCTGAGAGCATGTTACTGTAAGAGGACGAAAACAGTCGTGAAGGTTTCGCAGTACATAACACACCTTGATTTTCACTTCGCTTATACGCGCACGTCGAATCTGCTCTTGAATCTGCTCATACGTTTGACAGAGGCATGAGTCAAACATTGCTCGTGTATCGTCCCTACGTGGTTGAATCAATAATGAATTATGAAATCATGACTTTGGAACTTACGCTGTGATCTTCAACTCCCCGTCACTAATTCCTCTCTTCTCGTCGTCATCGATAGCACTCAGCGGGCTTGGAAGTAGCAAGTAGTTTGTTTGGGTTCCAGAGAAGCCGCTTTTCACTTCCATAGTGAAATCCTGGAGAAGTTTGGCCGCTTTTCTGGTGAGCGAAGTGCGAGGGATCTCTTCGCTTCGACAGCCAGCGATTTTGACAAAGTCTTGAGTACCTAAACGGCGCTCAAGCCATTGGAGAAATGCGCGATCGATGAAGCTACCACCACATTGAGCACCGCTACCCACTGTCGCCTCTTCAATGACAGTTGGCTGAATACTCGTCACGCGATATGCAATCAGATCAACAGTACCACCTCCCATATCGCAGACAATAAAGCCGTCACCAATTGACAACTTTGCATCCTGTGCTGTGCCACGGAGTGTCTTGATCGTATACAGGGCGGCAGCTTCTGGCTCTGTAGTAACGATAACAGGCATCTTCAACTCTTTAAACTCAAGAGAATTGAATCCAGCTTTCTCAATCGCCTGCATGGTCCGGTATTTCGCGACATCTGACCATACGGCTGGAACGGTCACCACCAAGGTAATAGGGAGCGTTCTCCACAGTTCTTTGCCGTACTTGTCGTCTAGGTTCTTGATCAAATGGCCTTTGACTTGCGCAAGGAAGCCTGCGATGATTTCGACAGGCGGTTTACGAGCCTTGAGCGGATTCGACATTTCACCAATGATCTTGGCGGCCTCGCCATGTCCATGATTGTCAAGTTCCAGCTTTGTCCACATATGTCGCTTTTCATAGGGTGGAATATCAGAGCCCCATCGTAGGCCTTCATCCAGATATGCTACCTCGCTTGGTACCTTCTCTCTAGTACCAACGTTGCCATGACGTGAAGGCCAGTCGTGTACGATTTCGATATGCTGCTCCTCTGACTTCGAACCAGAGATTTCGCAGAAGGCAACACCTAGGATAGTAGGTATAAAGGTAGTAAAATCTTGGGTGACACTTTACCCGTGTATGTAGTGCCGCAATCAAGCCCGATCACTAGTCGACTACCTGTCATGTTGTCTCGGTCACCACAGCCTGAGATCCGAGCCTGTGTTGCAGTTTTGACCTATGTTTTATCAATAGTAAAACCGGGGGAGCGAGCGGATTGTTTGTGGGAACAACAAGGGCGAGTGATGACTAAGATGGCTCGCAGTCAAAATGAAAGTGAAAGTGAAAGTGAAGGTAGCGCCTTGTCACAGCGATTGCATTTAGCCTGCAAACCTCGACTAACAGCTTTTCACGCCACGAAAGCTTTTAACTATAGGGCTTTCCAACCTCACTGACAGACCAGGCAGTTACTCGCCTTGACGAGTCCGTATAACCATGAATGACACCAACCATAAACACTTGGCGCCGACTGTAAGTTCATTTATCGCTTTTCGAACCAACAACTAACTGTCAGCCTAGTCATCTCCTGATGTGATGGACAGTAGGAGGTATCCAGTCACGCCAACTAAGCCTCATGACAACCATAGCAGTCAAAGCTATAGAGAGAGTCCTCTTGGCACTCCGCACAGCAATGCAGCCTCTGAGCAGTCTTTCAGAAGCAGTAATGGAAGTATGGGAAAACGACTCTCGTACGTCAGTCGTATCTCTACAAACTGACAGAAACAAAATCAGAACTTGCGTTCGAGCATCAGAACCCTACGCCACGAAGTTGCAGACCTGAATGCGTACATCAATCAGCTTACCGCGGAGTATGAGAAAATGAAAATTGACAAAAGATACTCCGATATAGGATACAATTTCGCCATCTCAAAGATAATTGTACCTTACGCAGAGGGTCAGGGTCTTCGCTTAGATAGTCTCGATGCAAAGGCCGTACAAGCCATGTTGAATACTATTCACCACGAAGTCGGGGCATCTACAAAGCTCCGAATCCAATTGTTCGATCTCAAAGTGCAGACATGGATTACGGAAGAGGAACTCGCTACTTCACGCGCACAGTGCCAGTCACTAGAAAAAAAAACAACACATCTCAGACGCCAGGCTTCGAGAGTCGCTTCAGAATCTTGACATCTCTCAAGACGAAGCGCAGGGCCTACGGAATCAAGTGCAAGCGCTCCAGAAAGAGCTACTGGCTCAAGTATCAAAAGTCGAGGTTGTTTCTGATGAGACACTTTCGCGGGACTTCCGCATCCTTGCCTCTTTGGTAAAATCGCTCAGCCGCTCGATCCAGCCAACACAGGATTCCCCCATGCTACACACTCTCGGGTTCTTCGTGCTCGTACAAGATGTCGCAAAGCATCACTGGAATACCCGCGCACGCCAAAAGGCATACGTCGAGGCGTCGATATGGTCCATGCTGATTGATGGGCTATTCCATCACCCTTTCGAGTTCTGTAGACCCATCGAGGTACTCAATGAAGACTGGCGCTTGATTTTTGCCGAGGAGTTCTTTGATGACTGGCCAACCCCAACCCCAGAATCCGAGAGCTGGCGGCTCACCACAGTGAACACGTTGATCAGCCAGATTGGACGGGAGACTACAACTACCGGCCAATGTCACGAAGATTCCCAAGAATTGAGTAAAAAAGTTCGTAGCCTACAGAAAGGGGTATTCAAGAAGCGAGAGTCCGTCGCCAATACCATCAGGTCGCATCTCACAGCGATATCAACTGGCGACCATTCAAATATCCCAGGCATTGTCGACCAGGCATTCAAGTTAGCTTTCAACATGTCCATGCAACCTTTCCGAGTTCAAATTACTTGGCCAGATGTTGGTGCCGATTTTGAAGCAGACCACATGTCTTCGGTTCCCGACCGCAATGGCCAAGATATCCGCAGAGGTGTTGTTGCATTCATTGTTAACCCTGGTCTCACTCGCTGGGGCGATGCCCACGGGCAGAATTTCGAGAAACGCCATGAGATTGTGCCGTCCCTGGTGCAGCTTGAACCAGTGCAGGTCAATCATAAATATCTTCGTAGTCGCGTGATTGCAAAGCAGGAGGAGGAGCATGTTCAGCGATGAACCTAAGATTAGAGAAGGCACCGCAATCGACATGAAGATAAGGGAACATGACCCGATTGATGGTGGCACAAGGGGATGAAAGGGAGGAAGGGGGCTTGGAGTTTGCGGATTGCTTTCGGTGTTCAACACACCATTGTACTTTGACAGAACAGCGGATGACAGGGTATATGCTACCCACCGGTAGTATTGAGAGAATTGGCGTTCAACACGAACTTCTCTAGTTAATGTGGCTGCTTCCATGAAGCTAGCTCTCAGAATAGGAGAGAGCATAACGAGATATGAGCTCATAAGAAAATGCAAAAATCGATGACGAGACGTATGAAGCCCGATATGCGCATGTGCCGCCTTTGTCGTATGTCATTAAGCTTGGGCGGGGATCGAAATTGGAGAGGGGGATAAAGCGTTGTTCACGTCACAGGCGCGTCGACGCGAGGACATTTCCGGGACTAGCGTGCCGAACGCGTCGGCCGCATTCTCGATACATACGACCACCGCCGGCTCTGTTATATGCCATTCGTACCTTTTATTGTTTACCCGCCCAATGCTGGCTATTAGCCCTCGGGAGACCCCATTCCACGCCCATAGTATCCCTCACAACTCACCGGGCGCGTCTTTGTGCGCGCTTACTCTACGCCTCCACGCTGGCTAGACATACCCACCCACCTCCGCCATGTACCTCCCACGGAATCTGATAGCACACCTCTATCAGAACCTCGTAAAAAGAACACATGCCGCCGCACCACCAGTCCTTCTCCTTGTCGCACTCGAACCAGACGCGCTGTGTGCGTGTCGGATTCTTACCGCGTTACTAAAGCGCGACTACATACCCCACAAGATACAGCCAATAGCCGGTTATGGCGACCTTTCACGGGCAGCAGATGAGCTGGTACGGCCAATGCGGACAACCGAAGGTGGCAGTGGGGGTGTTGTGGTGTGTTTGGGTGTAGGAGGCATGGTAGACATGGAAGAGATGCTAGGCCTGGACGTGGACGAGAATGGAGAAGGTGGGACTGGCGATGTTGAAGTCTGGCTCTTGGATGCACGACGACCATGGAATCTTACCAACGTTTTTGCAGCACCCGTCAGCCAAGACCCCGCCACGGGAGAATTGGTGCGGAGACAGGCTGGTGTAGACAAGGGCAAGATCCTGCAGTCCTACCAGTCATCAAGAGGTGGAATCATAGTCTTTGACGATGGGGATATCGAGCAAGAAATGCAAGCAGAGAGGGAGGCATATGTGGGACTTGAAGAGATGCCGGAGGTGGGGGAGGAAGACGACTTGAGTGATTCAGAACCAGAAGACGAAGAGCCCCCGTCAGGGCAGGCGCCAAAGAAGAGGAAATCATGGGGTGAGGGTGATGATTCTGAAGACGATATGACAGACGACGAGCGGCCAGCGCAAAGACGGAGGAGCAATTCTGTGCGTACAACCTTCGTATAAAATGGAACATGAACTGACAATTTCTAGGGCGGCTCAATACCATCCTCACCTGAACCGCGACGGCGGCGGGGTCTGTTGGCAGCAAATCAATTAGGCGGATCCTCCGACTTTTCACGTTCAGATTCCCGCAGCCGCTCTGTATCGCCATCAGTAGCCGCCCCAAAAGAGCAGTCCGTCAAAAGCCTACGAAGGCAACTTATTAAGAAGCGCGACAAGTATGCACAGGTCCTTGACAAATACTACGAAATTGGCACATCATACTCGGATCCTGTCTCATCCCTGGTATACAACCTGGCTTCAGAGCTTGGCCGCGAAGACAATGACCTGCTATGGAACGCCATTGTTGGTGTCAGCAGTCTCGAGCTGTACGGACGGACGGGAAGCGGCGTCGGGCTCAATCCGCTCTCAACACAAGGTGGCTCAGCTGGCTGGAATGGTAACCGAGGAGAGAGCATACGCTCTGTACTGCGAGACGAAGTACGACGGTTGAACCCCGTCACTGATGCAACAAGCGTATCTCGCGACGCAACAATGGGCGAAGTCTGGGGTGTCATTCCAACCAGTGCTCGCTCAGCAACAGACACAGCCATCCGCCTCTCACCAGAACCCCGCTTCCTCCTCCTCAGGCATTGGTCTCTATACGAGAGCATGCTGCACTCTCCGTATCTCTCCGCCAAACTACACATCTGGAGTGATGCGGGGCAGAAGCGACTTGCTAAATTGCTTGCAAAAATGGGAGTCTCTCTCACCGAATGCAAACAAAGATATACACACATGGACATGGAGCTGAAGCGCGGCCTACGGGAACGCCTTCTCAAGTTTGCCCCACAATACGGTCTGGACGGCCTAGTCCCCCCCAAGTCGAGTACAGGCGATCCAAAAGACGGCTGGGGCTTCGTCCGCTGCTGGGGCTGGAAAGCCTGTCTCTCAGCCATCGACGCAGGCGTAGTCCTAGGCGCCATCCTCGAAGTCGGCGATGTAAAGAGCCTTAACCAGTCCGCCCTCGACAGCTCGAACTTCGTCGGCACAGCCGACCACATCGAGATGCAAACCTCCACCCAAGAAGAACAAGACCTCGCTCAAGAACACATCACCAGCCGCTTCTGGACCGCATACGATGCCCTCGGCAACATCGACCTCCTCGTCGAGCACATAACCACAGCCCAGCACCTCCACCGCGCCATTCTCCGCACTGGCACCGCCCTCATCGAAAAACGCCAAATCCGCCACCTGCGCGCCTTCCGCATGGCTGTCGTGAAAGAAGGCCCAGATGTTCACCTCTTCACTCACCCGGGTGCCCTTACCAAACTTGCCCTCTGGATTGCCGAAGCCATCGTCGAGCTAAACGGTACAAAGGGGAAATCCAAGGGAAGTGAACTCGTCATGGCGGGTCTCGACGACTCACGCGGTCTCTACGTGGTTGTTGGTCTAGGAGGTAGCGGCGGGACTACGCAATCGGCCAAGTCGCGGCTCCAGAAACGAGAGGCGCGCGCCGCGGCGAAGCAGGAGAAGGTGGCAATTAAAGAACGGGAACGCGCGATGCGTCGGGAAGTGCGACGTGCACGGAATCTCGCTGCGGGCTTGGAAGAAGATGAAGTCGAAGACGAGACCGAGTCTGAAGCTTCGGATTCAGATTCCTCCTCCGACAATGATTCAGAGGATGAAGAAGATGAGCGCAAGGGAGGCAAAAATCGCTTTGGCAACGCGTTCCAGGAGGTTGTCCGTGAGACAGGGGCGCGAGTCCGCATGGATAGTTTTGAGGCATGTGTGATTGAGATCAAGAAGGAGGATCTCAGCGGGTTCTTGGAGAAACTGAGTCAAAAGGCTGTTGTTGGTTGAGTGATGTTCTTGTGAGTATCTCTTCTTCTTCTCCTCCTTCTCTCTTTGGTCTTTTGGTTCTGGGGGGTTATAGCTGCCACGAAAAGAAAAACGTGGATTTGGATTTTCAATGCTACAGAGGGACATGGGTACGTGTTGGGGAATCTGTTTGGTCACGGCAGAGGTGAGAGTGGGGGTTGCCATGTTGATACCCGTGGGTTTGCTTCTTTCTATTTTCTTTTCTCTTCTCCGTCTTTGTCTTTTCTTTCTCGCTGCCCCGTTTTTATTTACGGCATGTTTTTTTTTGAAGAAATGTGAAAAGTGAACGATTTGAAACGCACGTATTCAGCATCGCAGTATTACTACTATTATTCCTTCTCCCTGTAAAGGGCATAGCACAGCGTTACCATCATAGAGCAAAACAAAAAAACATATACACAAGCAACACGCCTAAACCAAGTCCATTGCAATTCAGAGTACATTCCCAACCAAAAATAGAAGAATAAGAAAAAGTGGTATCTTCTGTACGAATGCGCGACAAACACCAAACCCATTTTCCCTCCATTATTACTTTCACTAGCAATACCATCTCTACCGCCTCACTTTGTAAACGACCGTCCCTTTTGCCCCATCATGAGCGGTTCCTCGTCGTCACCATCATCGTAGCTTCCCTCCCCACTGCTTCGTCTCTTTCCCCTCCTTACTTTGACACCATCCGTCAGTCTCTTCTTCACTTGTTCGATGTTTCCATCAATAGTGCTAAATGGCTTGAGCTGGAACCCGCCCAGATTCATGCTACTGTTGCTCCTACTATGGCTCTTCTTGGGCGTCTGCGGCCTACTAGAAAAGAAGTCCTGATTTGCCAGGTCGTGGAACGATTCGTTGCGCGGTATTTCATTCATGGAACCCGGCGAGGCGGGGTAGTCGTACGTTTCTATGTCCTGGCCAGCCTCTATTCGAGCGTCTTCATCAGACTTGACTGGGGGGGTACGAGGACGCTCGTTCTTGTCTCCTCGGATGAAGGGGTCTTCAATGATGCGCTTCGAATGGAAGTCGTCATACATTTCTGGACCAAGTTCGTTGATGAGATCGTTGACCTGTTTGGCAAGATTCTCGCGGCGCTCCTGAAGCTTGACGAGTTCACTATTCGAAAAGGGGTTCATCATCTTCCAGAGAGGCCCAAGAGATTTGAGGATATCCATGGCGACTTCACCGAAACGTAGAGCGCCGTAAGTGACCGTGATGTATACAACAAGTTGTGGGAGAATGAGCCAGCGCTTTGGAATACCAGCGGGAAGGTGTCCGTTACAGTTGTTGTACGAGTACCAGTAGAGCCCGAGACATACATACCATGCATAACAGGCTGGTGCGACCGCCATGGCTACAAGAAGCTTCCACGTAGCCATGACGTCTCTGGCCTGGACCTTGACATTTGAAGCGGCAAGTGCCTCTTTTGCTTTCTTCACAGAGACAACCTTGGTAACAATGAAAACCAAACTGAAGAGTATCGTTCCAGGAAGGACGAGCAAACTCAAAAAAATGAGCTTTGCAAGGCGGTAGACGAAGAGACCTGCGGCTTTGATCGGATGCATCTTTGCGTACTGAACTTGGTGATCCCGGAGGCCAAGCGCTTTAAGTTTTCTGTTGTACGTTGTAACTTCTTTCTTGAGTTCCACGACGCGAGGGTCGTCCTTGTAGCGCTCGTATCCTTGGACAAGGCGGCGGTTCAATTCGACAACTCTGGGCAATGGCAGTTTTGTCCCCTTTGAGTTGTAAAGACGACGGACGGCCTGGATGACCTGCCGACAAGTGTTAGTAAAGGGCGAAAACTATCCGATTGAACCACATACCATGAGTGTATCGTAGTCAGGTGTCGTAACGGTAACACCAATGAGCCCCTGTCGGATAGTCTCAAGCATCTCGCCAATTGCTTCTCGTCTTCCAGGCCCATCAAATTTCTTAGCAAGCTCTGGTGGGACGTGGATTGGCGTTCCAAACTCGATAACAGCCCTTGAGCGAAACTTGTGAGCGTGAAAGTAATTCATGCCAACGGGAATGATGTTGAGGTTGCAGTCCGGCTTGGTTGCGACTGTGCCAAGAGCCATAATGGCGACACCAGCTGGAAATTGTTAGTTGTTGTCGAGTTTCCATATGGAAGCAGCTGACCTTTCAGAGGCAGAAGATCGGTACGGTCATGGCTACCACCCTCTGGAAAGATACCAATGCTTCCGCCATGATGCAGAACCGCATGTACAGCGTCGTAGACCTCGGTTTGGTCGAGTTTGGGCGCAACCTGAAACGATGTTCCTTCATAGCCATCAGCGATTCCCTTTTTCGCGTCGGCTCCGCCAACAAATGTGCCGTCTTTGGTCATGTCGTTGCGTCCAGTCAGTTGCTGCATTGCGATACCTCCTTTAAAGGGACGCTTCAGCCGGATCTCTTCGGGGCCCTTGATCTCGAGAATCTCTGCAGTTGCTGCCTTGTTGTCTACTTTTGGAAGAACGAGCGAGCCACCAACCTGGAACTGCTTGTCTTCAAAGTTTGTATCTACACCTCGAACGAGAGTGGGGTCATTTATGGGATCTGGGAGATAGATTTTGCCCTTTGCTGGCTTGGTCATGTCCATAGCTCGTCCCACGGGCACAACACCTGTCAAGCTAGCCATTGCGCCAACGAACTTGCGTTTCATAGACTTCTCGGCAATCAGAAACTGTATACGGCGGTCCGACTCCTTCTTTACCACTCGCATCAACATGAGAGGGTCTACGAACTGCAATCTGTCAGCTTCTGATTTGCGAACAATGTCATCTGTCAGTGTCGTACCTGATTTGCATGCGGGGCGCACACGAAAATGACGGGGCCCTCCTTTGGCACCTTCCAGCTACTCCTAGGATGGACTTCTCGGAAGAAGAGCTCGACGAGAATCGAGAATGTCCATAAAAAGGCATCGTAGACATACTTGTTCATCACCGCGAGCCTTTTGCCTTTGGCATCTCTCTTTTCGGTCGCCATGAGGGCTGTCTAGACCACTAGTATGACGCCAAAGAAGAAGAGAGTAGCTATGTTCGCCGCGGCGAGGACGAAGTTGATATAGCCCCCTATGGCTGCAGGTGCGTCGTGATCTCAGGGTCCGATGATGTGTGCGATGGCGATTGAGGAGGTGACTTGTGGGCAGTTGGGCAGTGCGCTCACTGGGGCGCGGGGTCGCTGATGATGTTGGTGCAAGTGTGTGGGTAGCGATAGACTTTGCATGTGTCAGCATGGGGCTGTGAGAACTGCCATGGTGTTGCAGGAACTTTTTTTTACTTTCTAGCACTTTCTCTGTGTCTCTGTGTATTGTCGCGTGCGAGGAAATGAACATCAGGCCACAGTTGAGCTCCGGGCTTGAGCGGATCCTGAGATAGGAGATAGCCGAGTGCCGAGCAGCGAGAGTATTAGTGGAGCGTTGCGCTGGAAGGATAAAGCTCAACCGAAGCCGCCTTGGGACGCTATTCTCGTTGTTGAGGCCGGGTATGTGGAGGGAGTGCAGATGGGCCGGGGTAGCGGGCTAGATTTGTTATGTCATTGCTGCTTCGCCTGCGCAGCTTGCCGCTTCTTTGTGGTGGGGCAGTGGCTGCTCGCCTGTGCATGTGCATGTGCTACGACTAACCACGCCCATGGGCAACCGCAGGCCTAGACTCGCTCCACGCCTGCACCGTCACCCCCAGCGACAACGACGACGACAACAACAACATCTTCATCATCATAAAAATTAATTGCATTGCACAGTCACCAAGCGGTGGGAACAAAGAATCAAAAGCCACACACAGAGTAACCCAGCATAGAATATGTTTGTATAGAAGGGTTTGGCAACTAGACTTTAGGATATTAAAGTCTCTAATCAAGAAGGGTATATACGTAATGTTGAATAAGATGAACATAGAAGGCACAGCCAGCATGCATATGAACCCTTACAACACGACGAAGGCAGCCGCAGCCACGACCATTGCCAAGACAGAACCGCTGACAGTATAGACAGACCCAGCGCCCTCAAATACTGGCAACGTCGGGCTGGCTGTATTGTTGCCTGCAGGTGGAGATACTGCGCTCGAGGTCGTCAAGTTGAGAGGAACGGATGCAGCTGGTGCGGTCGGCACGAATGGAACTGTAATAGTCACCGTCACGCTAGGTGTGCAGCTAGAGGTAGAAAAGGAAGAAGACGCCGCAACAGTAACAGTCTTGGTGATGTTGCGCACGCATGACGAAGAAGAAGGCTCAGTATCGTCGAATTCAAGACCAGGGTTGTTAGGGACGACGGGAGCCGCGCTGGAAGCCGTAGGGCTTGGGGTAGTGACGGGCGCTGGTACGTCGGAGGCTGGGGCTGGGGCCTCAATTGCCTGGGGCTTGTCAGACTGCACCGCTTCTGGTACCTGTCCTGCCACTGTCTCACTCAGGGGACTCTTACTTGGCGAAGCAAGCGGCGCACTTGATGGCGCTTGCTCCGGGTTAGGTTCAGGAATGGGTTGAGGAGTAGGTTCGGGAATAGGTTCAGGAGTAGGTTCAGGAGTAGGCTGTGGAGTCGGCGTAGGGGTCGGTGTTGAAGTGGATTTTGGCGTAGAGCTCGTGGCAGGTTTTTCGGCGTTGTTCTTCGCAGGAAGCAGGTTCTTCTTGATCTGTAGAAGCGCCTGGGTGACCTCGAGTGCAGACAGCTGCTGACCAACACCAGAGGTACCGTCCCAGCCTCCTGTGTACCATTTGCTGCCGCAAGTCTTTCCATCTGGGCCTCCAGAGCAAGACTTTGCAGCGCCAACCGCAGAGGCTGTGAGATACTTGGTAATGGAATCCTTGGTGAAAGGAGCCAGCAATGCAGTCTTGGCCATAAAGCGGGAGAGGTAAGCCTTGAAAGACTGCTGGTCAAGGTTGCAGTGCCTTCCAGACTCGCCCGTCTCACATGCCCATTCGTACATGATGTCGGTGGCATTCTCATAAGGGTTAAAGAAGAGCAGCTCGGCATGTTTGAGGAAGCCGGTAGTGCGGTCTTG